TTGAGACTCCTTCATTCACTTTGGACAACCTGTCCCAGATAAGCTTCGCTGTCTCCAAAGCACTCACTCTGCCATACTGTCCTTTGCTCAGATGGCCACATATGATATTCTTCGCTTGAGAGTCGAGTTGCTTGAATCTCTTCACATCAGCAGCATTCAGAGAAGGTGTGACTGAGGGAACACCATTTTCCACAACATATCAGAGATCGTTATCAATTGCTTCAAGATGCAATCGCATCTTATTCTTCCAGTAGGGGTAGTCCGTCCCATCGAAGGTAGGACACCCAGCAGAGACCTTGATCATACCTGTGGTCGACATAACTAAAACTCCAGGCGGTTAAACCAAAATGACACAGAACAAGGGAGTACATTGCTCTGATACCAATTGAAAGTGCGTTATATCGACTAGAGGGGAGTGAATAGGCGATTTTTATGAAATTCTTCACTGAGGAATTTGCCGGTGAGGAAATTCCTTAGTGAAGAACTACTAGCAGCGGAATGAGTACTCAAAAGTAAACATAACAGAATACAAGCATAGTCATCATGATGAAATAAAGACAGGCACAGAGTACAGAAGCGTAAGCACAGGATAACACAGGATGAAGACAAACAGACTGAAGAAATTGAACTGAGGAAATTGAGAAAGTCTTCAGTCAAAGTCTTCAAACACAGATATGAACAACCACACAACACAGTTATGAGGAAATTGAGGAGTTGAGGAAATAGAACCAGTAAGCTTGGTGAAGACAATGATTTGGCAGACCAGTTCCAACTGCTGTCTCAGTTGTACGTCTGGTTGGAGCGGTTGAGTATTTAAACTTGAGAACACCCAGTCCCGGACACCCAGTCATGAACACACAGCTCAGGACACCCAGTCCTCACCGTATTCTCCTTGAACTAAGGTCACACAGACCTCGTCCAATCACTCATGGTAAGTCTTCATGTGACTTCCAAACCTTCACAAACTCGGTCACTCGGCGATCCACAATTCCTCTTGGATGCTCTAGACCATGACGCCTAACTGTCTGGAAGAAGCACAGTCTTCAAAGGTAACAAGCGTCGGATCCATGCAGGATCAATCTCTTCAGTGATGCTCAATCACTTGGGGTTTGTAGGTGTTTGGGTTTTGGTTTTTTCCTCACTTGATGATTTTCGCTCAAAGTCCTTGGAGGATGGGTTGCTCTCAAATGACAAGTGTCAGTTTCTCTCGGAGCAGCCAACCAACTAGTGGTTGTAGGGGGCGGCTATTTATAGCCTAGGGAGCAGCCCGACATGATAAGACATAAATGCCCTTCAATGATATGACCGTTAGGTGGATAGATATTTTGGGATAGCTGGCACATAGCACAGCAACGGTCGGAATTTTGAGTAGCAAAATCCTCAGGGCTATCATGTTCCTCACTGTGTAGGTAATCCGCACTGGCAAATTCCTAACTACTCAGTCAGGACAAATTCCTCAGAGACCAAAAGAACTTCGTCTCTGTCACTGAAGAAATTCACTGAACTGTATGAGATTTCCAATGGCTTCACTCGAAGGGATTGGTAGGTGTAGGATTTTGAGTTGAGCATCACGTGGAAATTTTCCTTAGTATTTCCTCGACCCCCTTTAACAGTACGGTATTTCCTATGACTCAAGAAAGAGAAAATGAAACTATGAAAACAAAAGTCTTCACGCTTCATGTTCCTCGAACGAATACCAAGTCTTCAAGGTCACACCAATTTCTTCACTTTCAAAGTCTTCAGAAGGTCTTCAGTGACCCAAAGTCTTCAGTCGAAGAACTTCATTTTTAGGGGTTGACTTTCTCTGTAAATATCAAGTTCCTCATAGACTTATAGACCTGTATACACTCACAAACGCACTAGTCCCTTAACCTATAAGTCTTCAATACACCAAAATCACTAAGGGGCACTAGATGCACTTACAGGATGAAGGAAACAATGGGCGAACTGCTTTGTGGCATTGTTGTTGTATTATGGAGATTTGCGGGAGGGTAAAACGATAAAAGGCCAGTTTTTTAGTGTAGTTTTTTGAGTGTAGGTAAAGGTCAGGTTGGAGCTGGCTGCGAGGAGCACCAGCCCGAAATAGCAGCTGTGACTTCTGGGCCATTTCTGTGTGGAACCGGCCCAGGAAAAGGCCCTTTGGAGCTCCGCCTTTGTTCCTGGTAGATTAATCACTGACAATATCATCACTGCGTATGAATGCCTTCACTTTATGAGGAGAAATAAGGCAAAGAAACACCAGTCGTTTGCATTGAAATTGGATATGACAAAGGCCTATGATAGAATTGAGTGGCCTTATCTCAGAGCAATCATGATCAAGCTGGGCTTTACTGAAAGGTGGGTGAATATAGTAATATCGCTGGTCACCACTATTAAATTCTCAGTCATGTTCAACGGGAAGAAGTTCGAGGAGTTTGAGCCATCTCGTGGAATCAGACAAGGGGACCCCATATCTCCGTACTTGTTCTTGCTAGCAGCAGAGGGCCTGTCGTGCCTATTGAAATCAAAAAGTGAGTCATCAAACTTAAGTGGTCTGCAAGTGGCACCGTCGGCGCCACAAGTGAGCCATCTTTTATTCGCTGATGACAGCCTGCTGTTTTGTAAGGCAAATAGTAATGGAGCCAATGAGGTGAACCTGGTCCTGAACAACTATTGTCAAGCCTTGGGCCAACGTATCAACTTTGCAAAATCTTCAATATTTTTTAGCAAAGGTGTACCAGAAAGTACAAGACTTGAGGCCAAGGATTTACTACATGTCCCGAATGAAACACTTAATGAAAAATACCTTGGGATGCCATCAGATGTTAGGAGTTCAAAAAATGGTGCCTTCAAGTATTTGAAAGACCGTTTATGGAGTAAGGTGCAGGGGTGGATTGAGAGCACAATGTCAACAGCAGGTAAAGAGGTATTAGTGAAATCGGTTGCACATGCCATATCAGTTTTCTCAATGTCCTGTTTTAAACTGCCGAGGGGCTTATGCGAGCACCTTAACATGCTCATCAGGAAATTTGGGTGGGGATGCAAGGACGGTAAGAGAAAACCACATTGGGTTTCTTGGAAGGCCATGACTCAGCCGAAAGGAATGGGAGGACTGGGTTTTAAGGATTTTGAAATTTTCAACCTTGCAATGCTAGCTCGGCAAGCCTGGCGTCTACTACAGAACCCAGAAACCTTGAGTGCCTGAATCCTCAAAAGTCTCTACTACCCAACATCCAATATTCTGCAGGCCACACTCAGAGGTCATCCTAGTCAGGTTTGGAGAGCGATTGTTGAAGGAAGAGACACACTCAAGCAAGGCCTAATCCGTCGGATAGGTAATGGAGAAACTACACATATTTGGGAGGATACCTGGTTACCTAGAGATGAGATGCTCAGGCCTTACGGGTGTCGTGTGCCTAATCCACCAACATTAGTGTCAGAGTTAATTAATCACACTAGTGCCAAATGGAATGAACCGCTGGTCAACCAAGTTTTTCTTGCTATGGATGCACGGACTATAATGGGGATACCCCTCTGTACTCGCAACACAAACGATTTCTGGTGCTGGAATTTCGAGCGAAACGGAGTGTTCACAGTAAAATCGGTGTATCGGATGTTGGTGGCCACGAGACAACGACGTGAAGCTTGGCTCGAGGGGATAGCCGGTTCGTCTACAGCGGTACTGGAAGATGCCCATTGGAAAGACCTGTGGAATACAAAGGTTCCGGGGAAGGTCAAAATGTTTCTATGGAGATTATCAAAGCAATCTCTACCAACTGAAGATGTGCGAGCTCATCGTCACATGGCGGACAATCCCCTGTGTGGGATGTGTGGAGTCCCGGACTCGTGGAGACATTCTTTGCTGAACTGCACAACCTCCAGATGTACTTGGGCTTTAGTGGATGATGATCTTGCTCAAAAACTGGTGGCAACCACCGAACCTAAAGCCAAGCAGTGGCTGTTCGCTATGATGGAGATGTTATCACATGACCAGTTTGTTCTAACGGCAGTCACACTTTGGGCCATATAGACAGCACGAAGGGAAGCCATCCATGAGCAGTTTTTCCAAACACCGCAAGCCACCAATTCCTTCATCAAGAACTTTATCTCAGAACTCACCATCCTGTCAACGCAACGACCCACTAGCGCGCCGGGAGCTGCAAGGCAAGCACCGGTCGCTCGACCGAAGGCACCCCCAGTTGGGTTTGCTAAAATTCATGTTGACGCGGGGGTCCGAGCTGGCAGAGGTGGTTCTGCCTCTGCAGTTTGCCGCGATCACTTGGGAAACTATATGGGAAGCTCATCGTTGGTCATATCAGGTTTGGAGGACCCCCTGATCTTGGAAACAATAGCATGTAGAGAAGCTCTTGCTCTGGCGGAAGATCTCAACATTCAGAACATGGTGATTGCATCAGATTCAAAACAGGCTATCTCTGACATTGGAAGAAGAAGTATGGGGAAGAACGGAGCAGTTGTTCATGGAATCAACTGTAGATCATCTCCCTTTAATTGTACTTTTACTTTTGAAGGCCGTGCAACCAATATGGAAGCACATAAATTAGCCAAGTTTTCTCTTAGTAGAGGGTCGGGGCGCCACGTTTGGTTGGGCCAACCCCATAACCCTGCTTGTATCCCACAAATTGTGGCTTTTGATGAATAATTTGGTTTTACCCCCTAAAAAAACACCCGTAGTTCTGCTTCTGCACGAGGAGCCGGAAGCCAGCGCGGCGGATTTGCGGAAGCCATCCCTACTCCTTCGTCCTCCCGCTATCTCCTGCCGTCTTGCGCCGCACCCTCTCCCTGCCTGCGCCTCCTGCATCGCGGCCATCTCCTCCCTCTCCGCACTCCGCGGGCGTCTTGTCCTCCGCCGCAGCCCTCTCAAGATCCCCTCCGCCGCCGCGGCCCTGCCCCATTCCTCGTGGCCTCCTGCTCCTCTACGCCGCCTACTGCCAGGTTCTGCTCGCCCCCTCCCGGTCCACCCCTCCACGGCCTACTTGCAGCACGCTGTCGGCCGTTCTCGCATGGAGAAGGCACAAGGGGCACCACCGTCGGCGCCGCGGCAGTCCAGTTCCACCACCGCTGGTAGGTCCTCTGCCAATACACCGACGAACTTGTGATCTTATATTCTTTTGATTCTACGGTTGATCTCAGCAATCACAAGGCCTGTGCTCATTTAGACCATGTAGCAGATAGCAATGCCCTACAACAGGGGCGGAGCTATAGGGTGGCCAGGGTGGGCCGCGGTCCACCCGGGGATTTTGGAGCAGCCTATATACCTATGGATATTTAATTGGGCCAAAAAAAAAGATGGCCCAATAATACTTACCTCTCCCGCTGCGACCAGCCCTCGTTCAGCCACAGCCCACGAGGCCACGACCTTCCACATCGAGCCAGAGGACGCCCTCGTCCCGACGACCGACGCCCTCACCTCCGCGGCGCCGCCGTTCCTCACGGCCTCGCCGGTCGCCGGCCCGAGCCCAGGCCGCCTCCCCTTCCCGCCCGGCACCCCTGCCCCTCGGCTCCACCGCTCCCCCGCGCCGCTGCCCTGCCCTTGTCCCGAGCCGCGGCCGCCTGGCCCTGCCGCCCGCCCGCCCCTGCCTCCGCCCCCTCTGCCCTCCCTGCAAAGCCGATGCCCGTCGCCGTCGGTGCCGCTCACCAGCCAGTCTCCGGCCATCCGGCGGCAGCATCGCAACAAGTGTGCAAATCAATTTAAGGTACCGAATCCCCCTATTTTTGACTTAGGGTTTGCTTTTTTGCACTATGCTATCATGAATTGATGAACACATACATAATTTTGCACATCATTTCTGCCTCAATTTGCTTTATTGATAGAAACTAAATTTTATTGCAGAATTTTTGAAGAATGAAGAGGGCCGGAGACATTGTTTCTCTTTCTAAGAGAGAAGCTATGAAGATAGGGAAGAAGAAGAAGGCAATGAATATGTAAGATGTGGCCGAAGAGCAAGCCGGAGAACTTGTGTGTATTTTTGGTTGTGATTGAAGAGCAAACTCAAGAACCAACAGTGTCTATGTCGAATGTGACCATATAGTTGCTACTTTCATGGCAATGCAAAAGCGTAGGCGAGAAACATAGTCTTTTCGAGCTTCTCAAGGTATGTACTATGGTCCATATAGTATGTACTATGTATGCTTCTTTATGCAAAACTTAAACTTAATTGAGAATTTTAGTGTGTTTATAAGACCATATTGATCTATTTCTATGTGATATTGGTAACTATTAGAACACCCACATGTCATATTTCTTGTAAAAAAAAATTGAGGGGTCGGACCACCCTGATGTCAAATGCTAGCTCCGCCACTGCCCTACAGGATTAGGATTTAGGGAGGCAAAAAAATGTCAGGATTATAGTTTAAAAAACCATGAAGAAACTTATGCAGTAGATGAGTATTGATTAGTACCATTCCATGAATAAAGGGCACAAGGCCATCCTTCCATTATCCTTGTCCATTTTGTAAAGTAAGTTAGGCGGCCACTACCGTTGAGAAGAAAACATAGATATGCCCCTTACAAAACTCTATGCTAGCTCCTGTGTTTTGTAGTATTGCGCTAAATTCTTTCCATCAACTGTTTGGATGACAATGTCCTAAGCAATCTGGATAAAAGTTAGCTGGAATGAACATGTGTAACTAAATCTAAATGCATATATACTTCGAGGAGGAGTTCAATCCATACAGCTGCATTGTTGCTATTTAATTTTTAAATTCTCAGCTATATGGAAATTGATACTTCTTTTCAGGTCTGTGCTGATATCAGAATAACAGTTACAAAGACCTGAAAATTTAATCATACAGTAATATGCGACCAGCATGCAGTTCTAATTTTAATTTGCTAGAGATTATTAGTTTTAGTTTGCAAGAAATATACTTATATGGGTTTTGCAAAATTCTTTCCAAGCTTATGAGGCCGTGAATCTCATGGACGAGGGCCTCGCCGCTTCCGAACCCGGCCCATCCGTCGCCAAGCGGGCTCGGTTTATGGGGCCGCACGCATCCAGTAGCTCAGGCGCTGACCCTGAGATGGAGATCCGAGCACTAGTCTCGATGGCCAGCGGACTCTACCCGTTGGCACGGGCGGAGGCGCTCAGCGGCCTCGCTGCGGTCCTCGAGAAGGTGAATGCCGGCGGCGGGGTTGTGGAGTGTTGCTACGCTTGCGCGGAGAAATTGCTGAGGGACGAGGACGAGGGTATCAGGTTGGCCGCTGTGCGATTGGTGAGATTTTGTCATTTATGGGTACTTATGTTTTCTTTTGTGCTACTGTATGCTTTTGAGAGTTACATATGAGGAATTGAGGAGATCTCCTGTCTTCGGTGGATAGGTTGGCCTTTGTGCGGAAAAGTTTGCCATGAGAAAGGAGTTGGGTGGTGATGGTGACCAAATGGACCGGGTTTTCCTACAGGTATGGTTTGCATTTCGCGCTGGATTTGGTGTTCATGAACGGTAGGATCAACTAGCTGAGTGTGGGCCTAATGTTAATGTGATACCGACATTTTTATTTAGCCTAATACTTCTGTTTCTATATGTCAATTCCAGGCTACTAAAGTTTGGAATGAATAGTTATACGACATGCCCATAACTGATATTGGGAGCGATGTTCTTGTTTTTTACTTGAAAAGACCTGTATTTTCGGCAATTTACCTTTCTGTTCTTATCACCAGAAATCCTTTTGACAAGGTGAAAGTACTCATGGCAAATGAGATTTACTACTGAAACATGCAGTTTGTGATGCACGCAATAAGAAAGATGCATCTAATCATGCTTGTGCATTTAATATTTGTAAGCAAGTTTTACTCCACTGACCACTGTAATGATAACTGCTTTGTTTGCCCTCTGGACTTCTCTATTCAGCTTAGCTCCATGGCTAGGGACATGTGTACAGAAGTAAGAATTGAAGCATTCAACGCACTTGCCAAAATGCAGAGAGTATCTGAAGGTGTTTTGCTTCAGTCACTGTCTAAGAAGATCATAAAAACTGACACTGGGAGTGCCTCTAGCATCAAAGGGAAAAAATTACCACCTAAATTATCATCCCCCTGTGCTGCTGGCATATTTGCACATGGGGTTGAAGATGAATTTTATCAGGTCAGGTCATTCTCTTATACCACATAATTCCCCTTAACGTCCCGTGTCTTTTGTTTATTGTTCTATATGTTCTCCCTACAGGTCCGAACAGTTGCATGTAAAACGCTGGGAGCTCTTGCAAAGCTTTCAAACCAATATGCACAGAAGGCCTTGGACTTGTTGATGGACATGATGAATGATGATACAGAAGCAGTTAGACTGCAAACTTTGCAGACGCTGTTTGATATTGCAACATATGGATGTTTGAGCATGCAGGAGAAGCACATGCACATGGTACTAATTATCAATATAATGTATCTCGTGTAAGCTAGATGTATGAATTGGTTCTTTATTTTTAGTTAACTGTGCTAGATGCTAAATTTGGTAATCTTATGCCTCCTGTTGCTTTTGCAGTTCCTTGGCATATTGATGGATCCCAATGTCGTAGTTCAAAATGCAGCACGCAAGATCCTAGGGTCAGTGAATCTGCCTAAACTTCAAATGTTTAAATCTGCACTTGATGGTCTCATTGCAGGTCTGGAGAAAAATCCAGAGGTATGTTAGTGCAGAACA